TTTTGCTGAAGAACAGCTCCCTTTTAATAATAATAATAATTTTAAAAAATGTAAATCCGAAACAACAGAATGAACAGAAAGAGAAAAAACACGAATGAAAATACTTAAGGAATAGAATCCTGAAGAAGAGTATCAAGGTAAATTAATCCCAAAAGATAAGACGGATTTTTCAGTGGAAAACACGAGGGCCTCGGCAGCTGAAGTCCGTGATGCGCATTGGCCCGCTCTGCTCTGTTACATGTCATGGAATGTAACTTTTATTTAGACTAGCTTGTGTTGCATCACGCGGAGTGTTTTCCTTGACATACATCTAAAGTGATGACAGTGTCTTTAGATAATTCAGTGCATATCCCATACGTTTACCCTGTTTCACTTCTTTATTCTCCTCTAGTTCCCGGCTGTATCACATTGGTAAGTAAAATTCTCTCTGAATGACTCAATAATAATATTTATTATATGAATTAGCAATCATTTTCAAAATTAGATATCAACACATTCTGGATTTTCAATCCATCAACTCAGTTTAAAAAAAAAGGATCTGATATTTCATATCTAAAACCAAACAGCTTTTTTATGCTTCTTGAAGTGAGAAAAATGAAGGAAATACAGCGTGATTAAAATCATTTACATATATAAAAAGGATCTATTTGCCCTCTCTAGCAATATCAAAGAATAGATCACATACGGCCTCCATCAACCTCCACGGGCTGGGCTCTTGCTTGCTCCCCGATGTCTACCTCCGAAGTTCATTCCGGCCAGGAATAAGGTCAAACGCCCACGCAAAAGCAAGCGCTACTACAAAGACAAGGGACGCTAGTGACGTTAGTTGAACCATAACCAGCCAATGTTTTGCAGGTGTCTACCAGCCCTCGTTATCAGTTAACAGCAGGAAGTGTTCCCGTCCTTCCCAACGTTAGAAGTAATAACCCTTCCGTCAATTAGGCAAGTGTGTTTCATTTTTTTTTTCTTCCAAATGACAAGCTTGGCTCATCTCCCTTTCTGCAAGACAAATCCTTTTATAAAAAAGCAAGTATAATGTAATTACTGTGGATAAATACAAGTCTCTCCCCTACGCATAAAACGCTATTGGACAACGGTCGCCATGTAGAAGGACTATGTGATGACTCATTCACACACTGCAATTTTTTTTTTTTTTTACTTTTTTTTTTATATAGCAAACAATTGTTCCTGGATAGGTGGCCCGACGCAGCCTCGAATACACTGAAGTTCTTTCCTTTGTTAAGGTCCCTGTAACCTGTGGGGTCCGGCACTGTCACTGCAGGCAAGCGCAACGTGACGCTGTGCTGTGCCACTGTGGATGGGATAAGGAGTTCACACCACGCCCTGGACTGGCACACCCAGGGGAGGACACTTCACTAAGGACCTTCCTCGCACACTTTTCATTTTTTTCCACACTGGAAGTTCTCACTGTCGAGTTTTTTTTTTCCTTTTCCTTTCCCTTCCTTTGAAATCCCTTCCACGGCGTTTCTTTCTCGGATCCTTTTGTCCCTCTTTTGAAAGTCTGACCACGCGAAGATTCTTCCTTTACCAAAAGAACAACACCTTTAACTCGAAACGAAACGCGGCGAGGTTGAGATCACTTTCGACTTCGTTTCCCCTTCGTCCTCGACCCAGAGACGTTGAAACACGGTGTGGATGGCGCCCCTTTTTTCTCTCTCTCTCGCTGGACAACGATATGGGAGGGGGCGGGGGTGGGGGAGGGATTACGGAAGGCGGGGACAAGACGCTCCTTGCCTCGCCCCTTGCGCCGCCCCCTCCCCCTGCCCCTCCCCCTGAAGGACCATGGCGAGAGCTCGGCCGGCCGTCTGCCTCGCCGCGGACGACCATGCAACTCTTATACCTGCAAAAGGGAAACAACGTCAAGTAAGGTCCCGCCGAGGGCAAGTCTCGCTGCTGAAACGGGCTGCTTGGAAAATAATAGCTGTTGATATTTTTAACTTTAAAATGAGCTCTGGCTATGATATACTGCCGCTGGTTCTACGGTAAAGGGGATTAGCACAGCTGCATAAATATGTACATTTTGTCGTTTCAACTACAGCCATTTCCATTACAAAAGAATACTGTAAAAAGTACGCAGAACAGAACACACCTTCTAATGACTGTAGAACCTTTGGCATGCTTTCAACAATGATCCAGTCTTACGATAACGAGTCACTCGCTTCACTTTTTAGCGTCGCCTCCATCATTGGCGTAGGCTGTTTCTCTGTATTTTTACTATTACTATCACTATTTTTTGTTATAAAGACAGTCTTTTTGGGTCTGGTGGCGCTGGCGTCAGGGCCTCCGTCGACGACGCCCTCGCCTGCATCAGGCGCCGACGCCGCCCTGTCCTGGGCCTGCTGCTGCTGCTGCTGCATCTGCGAGAACTTTGCGAGGCGCGAGCGCACGATCTTGAGGTGGCGGAGGATGTAGTCCTCGTGGGGCGCCATGGCGTGCGCGCGACTCAGGCACGTCTCGGCGGCCGCCAGCTCGCCGCGCT